ACGAAATAAATGTTGATTTTTTTTACTCACGAGTGCAGATCGCTTAAGCAACTTTCAATTAAAATTTCAATTATCCTTTGGGATCCATCAATCACCGTCCATCCAAACGTCTAACCCTGTCCTTTAGACGTTAAATGCGTCTTTAATAGAAGGATTAGTTTAACTAAGCTTTCAACGAGAGTTTTCATTTTTCAATTTTATTGATAGTTAGTTAATCGATCAATTTTCATGCGACACTTGAAACTCGATATGATGGTTATCGAAAGAAAGCGTTACTTTAAAATTAAACAGAAAAAGAGAGAAAGAGAGAGAGAAAGAGAGAGAGAGAGAGAGAGAGAAAACTAATGTAAGTCTCTCATTTTATTCTTCTACTTTTAACGAAAAGAAATGATCTATCTTTTTACTTGGTTTCTAAAGTCAAAGATTTTGATGTATAGCTAGACTATAGATCAATTAGACGTAGATTATAGCTAGTTGAACGTTTCTGATCTAACGATTAAGATATCGTTCGGAGATACTTGAGACATACTTCGGTCAAAGGAAAGTTTTATCAAACTTATGCCATTAAGAGTTTCTCGTTAACTTCTGAATCACGACAAAATCATCCAGCAAATATCATAACGTGAGTTCACGTTATTCCTACAAACTCTTACTAACCTTTACCTTTAGAACTTTATTTTTCTAACGTTCGACAAACGATTCCAACTATTCCAAGATTTTGAGTACCGTGATGCTGCTGCTGCTGCATATATGTATATATATATATATATAATAAAAAGCAATTATGTTGTTTGATAGAATAAATCCTTTTCGATATTCTATTTTTTTCTGTTAATATGTTACTTAATTTTTTTGATGTGAAAATTTCTTTAGAATCAGGGTGGTTTAGAATATTAACGCGAACTTTAAAATAAAATTATAATTTTACAAATTTATTATAAGATGGAATTAAAAAAAATTTCGCGCGTTAATATTACTAAGAATTGTTATGGTTTTTCACTGCATACACACACACACACACACACATACACACATATTTTTGTCATATTAAGTTTGTACTATACATTTTATATTTAACATATTTCACTAGAGGGATTTAATATTTGTTGCAATAAAATTTCGAGCTTCTATATATAATGCCAAATATTAATAAAAATAATAATAATAATAATAGCTAACATATTTATTAGTCAGATGGTTTTTAAATATTTTTACTTTAATAAAATAAAAACGTCGTTCGTTTGTATGAATTCGTTGAAATTCAACTAGTCGATACGTTAAGTAAGGGTTGCAGAAAGGAAAAAGTAAAAGAGGAAAATAAAATGGAATAAAAATTATACCTCAGTTTTTTTCAATTCCGAGACGAATGCAAGTGCACGCGAGTCAAGGTAGGTACTTATTCCTCAAGCCTCTTCCTCTTCTCTCTCTCTCTCTCTCTCTCTCACTCTCTCTCATAGAAAACATGGTCGTGATGTCAAACATTCGCATTTTCTTTGTTGGGAGGAAACGATGCGATATACCGTATGTAAAATTGATATCTGCCGTGTGAGCGAGTACTACTCGTCACAAAAGAAAATAAGAGAACTCATAGAATCACGAATATAAAAACGCTACGATAATTTCACGAGTGTCTTCGAGATATATACGATGAGATAAGTGTTCAACATGAATTATTATTATCGAGGATTATTCTGATAGTTAATTCATCCCCTAAAGAAATGGGCTAATATAATGACATTTTCTTTTTAAAACCCCTTTTGCACTCGAGGACTCTACTATGAAGACAAAAACGAACTGAAGCAAATTCAATTTAGTCTACGACATACCATCTATGATTATTATTTTAATGCTAATATATTATTTATTTATAATATTRGGTTGATTCCAAAAATTTCTTCCCTTTTTTTGATGATAAGCTTAACACGGTCACGCCGGCTTGTACCACCGGTGGCTCGCGTTAGACTATCCCATCGGGCGGCGCGTACCACCTTGGTTCAGGTTTGAACAAGCAAAAATCGCGCGCCGCCAGATGAAATGCATTATAAATTCGAGCGCCGCCCCATAGCGCAGACACTGAAAATCGGCTCCCGCGTGAACGTGTTAAACAATATTGCATGAGTAATGTACTTGTTTTCTTTTGTATTCTACATTATTTTACTAAATAATATTGATTCTATTCTAATTTTACTTTTTTCTATACTTTAAAATATTCAATTATAAAAGTATCGTAATCGTAGAATTACTTAAAAAAACAAAAAAAGAAGAAACTTTTGTTGACGAGACCTAATATGTGAAT